TGATGCCCCACATTCCACAAACCAAAAAGGTGCAAATAAAAAAAAATCATACTTGTTTGACCCTATGACCCTTGAATAGGCGCCACTTGCAACAAATTGTGCTAAATGTATTCTAATTTTGGGCCATGGAGAATTGAAATGTTGCAAAAAGGACGCCTAAACTAGGTACATGATATTATTTATACATATGCACTATCAATTTGTTTCACAGTCTGATTTAAGATGGCCGAATGGCGGCCATTTTTGTACTGAAAAATCAACAAAATCAAGCATTTCTCAACTGTTTACATATAGATTTTGTTTGAACTTGGTACATACATTGGACATTATATGACTGACCTTGATGAACATCATTTTGTTTTTGAGATAAGATTCAAAATGGCAAACTGGCGGCTATTTTGTTTTAATGAAAGCGATCCAGAGCCATAAATGTATCTCTGACATGCTTTGACTGATGTTCAAATTTTTTATATTCATTATACATCATGTCATAGATATACAGATGTATGGGTTTGACGATCCCATTAAAAATTGCCGCCCAGTGTCCATTTTGTTTTAATTAATGCTGCTCCAGAGCAATATCTGTCAAGGTACTATATTACTATAAACAAAACTATGTAACTTGATTTGATAACTAACAGGGACTGTTCCATGCATGGCTTGTTTATATCAACTCATCAAAAATCAGTGGAAATAAACTCCATAAAAAATGCCCAGGAAGTCCTTTGTGTGAAAATTAATTCCAGCTAAAATAAAGTATTTTACAGTATGTACAATCATGGGGCTATATATCAATGCTGATGTGAAGAACACATACATTAGTTGACACATATAAACGCCATAAATAAAAAGTTTTAATTCCGTAATAAGGAAATATATTTGTCTGTCCAAAGGTATCTTAAACTAAGGCGCATCATATATTCACATATTCATTCTTTGAGGTGATGAATATTATGAATATGTAATAAGTTCCACAATATGTTAATAATTTGGAGGAAAATGTGGACAGTTATAGAGAGAATGAGTTTGAAAGATCTCTGTACAAAATAGGGTTCTATATATACACATAAAGATACAAATATATACATTTATATCATGCAATGAAACACTAAAAATAATACCAGTCTATGTAAATAAATTGATGATAATTAAACTGAACAATGAAAATAATAAACCTCAATGCTTGACCCCTAAAGGTCACACATCTTGGTACTTTTTGGGGAGACTATCACTGAGAATTTCTCAAATATTTTGTTCCTAAAAATGCAATAGTTATCATGAAATTCAAAAAAGTTTCTCTTTGTGAACTTTGTAGCAGTGAACACTTCTCATAGTAAAATTCAGGATGTGTGGATTTTAATTATATCTGTTTATCATTGTCATTAATCATTTACATTATCCACAATTCATTATAATGAAAACATTGATGAAACAAATAAATGATCAATTCAAATACATGCAAAGTACATTTTGTTTAGAGTAAGCTAGGCATGCTTGTTGTATTTTGTGATCAATCCTTGACTGCACATCTAAATGTACAAGGATGATAAGACCCTCTAAGACACTATAAATAATTTAGCTAAACTGAACATATTCCAAATGATGTGTGGACTACTACATTAAACCGCTTTTATCTCATGAGAGAAGACATGTTTGTGCATCAATAAAATTCACAAAATGTTGTAGCATTATTGTTGTGTCAGTGTTAATTATCAAATCCAAACATTCCTAGGGGTCGGAAATAGTGCATCACAAATGTAGTGTTATGATTCAATGGTCATGGTGGAATTACATCTAGTATCAATAATTGTTGTCAACTATAAATTTGTCAAACTGCAGAGAAATCATTTATCACTCCAAACAAAATCACAATATCTCAAATAAAATTGTACTCCATACTGTAAATAATTTATTCTGAGATGAATTTTCCATTGATTGGAAATAGTTCTCATACATGTACATGTAGATTTTATTTCTTTGTTTTCTTGTCTATCATCTCTGTATTTGTGGCTTCTGATGCATTGTCAGTGTAACTCTATAAAAAGAAAAAAGAACTTGTTAATTTATATGTACAACTTAGATAGACCAGACTGCATATCTCCATCCTTGCTCTGTTTTTTAAACAATAATGAATCCCCCACAACACTATATTGGATGTATAATACAATGTATGAGCCATGCCAAACACATCATCACTCTACACCCTTCTCCAATTCCAATATAACACTGTGAGGGATTCATTACCATTGTTATAAATCACCACCATCATAATTAAAAAAAAAATTTAAATGTGGAAAATTTGTGTTGCAATGAATTTATCTGCAAATAGAGGTTTACATTATCATGTGATAATATAAAAACATATAATTCTGATAGTTGTCCTTTACTCCTTTAAATATTTATTTGTTTTGTTTGTTTGTTTGTTTATTTACTATAGAACAAATTAAAAATCAACTCAATATTTAAGGTATTCAATGAAATTGGAATGTCTACTTAAGTTTTAGGAAGTATTATATTTATGGTAGAAAACTGGACACTGTGATATGACATTGGTGATGCATACTCTGTCTAATGTATTGAACTACATAGTATATGGTTTTAAAGCAACAGGTGAGTTCCAGACAACCATTACTGTGCAGTTTATCATATTTTGTGAATTTGTAAAAAAAATCATCATCACAAAATGATACAGTTTTGCTTTCTACCCTTACCGAACAAATTGTTATTTTGCAACCATGTGAAAATCACTGTGAAATCAGTTAATTATATTCAATCGTCTTATATCAAGACACAGAATTCTTGTAAAGTATAATAATTGATGACTGAATAACTTACCATGAGATCTTTACTCATGAAGTATGGTTTTGTAACGCCATCATTCATATCACAATCCTCAGAGAAGCAGACAAATATTGTGTCAATCGTCATCTGAAAAAAAAATATTATGAACTCATTTTAATACATACTGTGCAGTGAAACATGTATAAACTAATTC